TGAGATGTATGTCATGTACGTTGTGCTGAATTTGTCCTCTGTACTTTGATTTTGTGATGTTTTTTTGCATAAAATTGATTGTAATTACTCTGGTCTGGTATCTCTTCAGTATTGTGTCATTTCACGCAATCCGTTTTTGGATTTTGCCTTTGTCCATACTTCTTCGGGCCTCTCTGAACATCGATTTGCGCAGGAGGCTTCTTTGAAATAATAGACCAGCAGGATTTTGTTCTCAGGCGTCATGTGTAAGGTGATATTTTATGGTGCAAAATTCCGTCTTGCTTCTCTTCATGCTGAATAATTACAAAATTAAAATACGCGTTTCAAGTGCTGTAATAAATTCGTCGAAAACTTTTAATCTTTTATTGAAAAAAGGTTGTTGTTTACCTTATCGTACTGTCAGATTTTCAAGTATTTCTTGGCTGCATTAGGGATTGCCCTCGTTACGCGCTATTTGTGCAGGCTTTGATTTTTATTTTTATTTTTTTAGGTTTGATGGCTCAGGAAATCCATATTTTCTTTCCGGCACGCATTTTGAGAAGTTTAATTCGAAATAAAATATTTTAGCGTTGGAAAGAAGAAATTGATGAAATTTTGAATGTATTTATATATGAAAATATGTATGAAAATTATGAAAATATGTGTGAAAATTATTATAAAATATTGAAAATTATTTTTAATGGTAAGAAATGTTTCGGTCCATTAAAAAGTCGTATACAGTTGGCAGTTCAATTTTGAAATCTGCAGGTTCTTTAGAACATGGATATGCAAGAGGGACGCGCACGAATTCATGCTATTCCAGTTGATGTGTGCCGCAAAATTTGCACCGATCAAGTTGTTATAACACTTTCCGGTGCGTGCAAGGAACTGATTGACAATTCGCTAGATGCTGGAGCCAAAACAATTGGTTCGTCTGACATTATCATTTTTATGCATTTTTTGCAGCTGCGCAATGCAAAAACGCATGTTGACGAGGGGTTGTCTCTGTGTGTGTGTGTCTGTTTGTCTGTGTGTGTGTGTCTGTGTGTTGGTACCGATTTTTCATCTCGAGACCGGCAAAAGCTACGGGGCTGAAACTTTGAGGGTATAATCTACAATACCGATTTTTCATCTCGAGACCGGCAAAAGCTACAGGGCTGAAACTTTGGGGACATAATCTACATGCTCGTATGGGCCCCCATCCCAAAAATTGGCGCCAAAACCGGCGTGGTACCCGCGTACGGGCCCGCCAAAGTTTTT